GCGCGACCCTTTTAGATGCTTGTACAATGATTCAAATACTTGTTCAGCCAGCATTAAAGCCTTTACCTCTCTTTCCTGTATCAAAACATACTTACCAAGCGCTTTAAATAATTAAGTGATTTTCTTCTAATTTTTCCATGTAATTTGTAGCAGCTGCGGAGCTAATCTGTAGCTGTTTACTGTAAGAGGCAAGTATAACGCCAACCTTCCGCGATCAATCTGGGGTTTAGGGTATTCCGGATGATCACTGGTCTTCGATCACTGGTCTTGGTCGGTTGGGCGGAAGGTATGCAACGCTGGGTTTGTTGTCAAAAAATGTGTATAACTTCACGATCGGCTGCGTTTGCCCACTCATTTTTGACAATGTCCAGTCAAAATTCCTCCTCTGCGATAATTGAGTACTGGTTACGACATCATTTACGTAACTCCATATTTCATAAATTGTTATAATGCGTTTCTATGCAATTTCCATTCACGGCTAGTTTTGCTCAAAATTCAACAGCTTTGATGCAAATTTTATTGCCGATCTACATATAATATATACCAAAAACATCACCAGTGACTTCTCTAATGTGATTCATTCAATGTTTTTTCATAACCATTTTTTCCATACTTTACATGTTTCCAACGGTTGTTGATGCCCAGATCTAGGGTGATCGTCATCCTCAACATTTTCACGGCCTTACTGGAAATGCTTATCATAATCTTTTCGCTCTTATACTCTTGTTTTACTAAAAGCATACTCACCATTGACCTTCTTTAGTATCACATATACTTTGTTACATATATTTTCAAGAAAGAATTTAAACATTTTCATACAAGCATATAATCTTTAACAATATTGAAAGATTTAATTAAAGAAATAAATTTTTTTAGTTATACAGTTATACAGTTACAGTCTTTAAGTTAAGAAAGCTGAAAATATAGTTTTTAATACGACATTCTGAGTCATATTTAAGAAACAAATCAATTTTTTTTTTTTTTTTTTTTTAAAATATGTAAATATATATGAAGCTAAATTTGAAGCCAATTCAAAAATGGTTACATGTAATACATACATACATAGATTTGTACTTAGATAGATCTACCCACACATGCTTTACTCACGATATAAAGCAACCACTCTTCAACAGAATTCAAGCTCGGTAACTTTTAAGGGGAATACGTTCTACTCAAACATTTGCAAAATGCTTGTATGTAACTAATTTACCATAGCATATATACAAAAAGATATGTAAGTGCACTTTTGCAGGGACTTAAGCTTTAACTACACACATTCAATATTATGATTATTTTTTATTTATTTTCGTAAAATTTTTTTTTCTTACTCTTATCCGCACTTGACTTCCACATTCCTTGCANTTTTTTTTTTTTTTTTTTTTTTTTATTTTTGTCTTGTTTAACGATTCTTGCACTTAAGTTTGACTATCAAATTTCTTCAAGAAAGAAACTTTTATCATATTTTTCAATTTCAACAAATCTCTACAATTTCGTTCATGTGTCTTTAGTGCTGTTTGCGCCGGGTATCGTATTTTGCTTGATAGCAGTAGTATCGCTTTCCAAAGCGTTGGGCGAAAAGATTTTAGAAAAAGATGCAAAGAAAAAGAATTAGAAATATCTCTTATTCCACATCGCAGTAGACTTTATAGGAAAAATGACTTTTTTTAAGTGCATATACTTTGTATCTAAATATTTAAGTACGTAAAATTGAGGGTAGTAGAAAGGAGTTGTATTTGTACAGACTACAAGACTTTAGTAAAATGACGAATAAGCTCATAATGCGTATGGAAGAAGAAGAGCATATTTATATACAATATATTATATATATATATTTGTCCGCCCTAACTTCAAGTAGGTAATCGAGGGGTTAGAATTAAACCAGCTGATAATAACCTTATACTTGCCCGTGATATTTACTACAGCGGCCATATAAAGAAGCGCTAATTTGGTGTAGGATTTGTGGTGGGAGAGAGACTCCGTCCTCAAGTATTGGCATTCATCCCGCCACAATCCGCATCAAAGCGAAATTTTTCAGCAAATCATAGACTTGCTAGATACCTTTTATGAGTGCCTAGAGCATACTTATGAGCGCTGCCACCGCCACGATGTGAAAGTCGTGCATAGTGATTTTAGTGCCACGCCTCTAATGAGTTGAGGCTGATCGATTTCGTCCGGGCTTGATATATGGTTGTCTGTAGTACTAAATTCCGGCACAGGAAAATACTTTAAGCTACTTGGATGGATCAAGCTGTCCCCTGATCGAAAAACACAAAATCAGATCGGTCATATTGTGATAGATGGAAACATGTCTCCAGTTGTCTTGACGTGCGCACACTCCGAGGACCCAACTTCTACTCGGATCATTATCTTGTCGCAGCGAAGGTACTTCTGCGCTTTTCTGTACCGAAAAACGCCAGTCAACAAACACAGGGAACCTCGATTTTAAAAAGCTGCCACCAAAACAGACTGCCAAACGATTTTCTTTTCGACTTGCACTCCTGCTCTCTGTGAGCACTCGTCAACAACTCGGTATAGGAGACCTGTGGGTCGGCATTTCAAGCTCCCTACGTACAGCTGCAAACGAAACAATTGGATATCGTAAAGGTCGCAAAAACTGCTAGTGCGATGAGGACTGCCGTGTCGGAGTGGGGAGAAAACAGACCGCCTACCTCGCAATCTTGCGATCGACCACAAAACGTGCGGGATGGGATAGATACCGAGAGCTAAAGAGGGAAGCAAGACGCATCTGCGGGCAAAAAAAGAACTAGACCGAGATGGGTGAGTATGAAGAGGCTGAGAAGCTGGCCGACAAGGGTAACGCTCGAAAATTCTACGAGAAGATACAACGACTTACGGAAGATTTCAAAACCGGAGCAGACTCTTCTAGGACACAAAGAGGGGATCTAGTCACCGATGCCCAAAGTATATAGAATTTATAGAGGGGAAATTATTCAAACCTGCTGAAAAGTAGTGAAAATGGAGAGTTCGGAGATGATGAACCCGAAACCTTAATCTAGGACGATGGAAAAGCCGTTCCATTACCTTACCATGAAGGAGTTCGAATAGCAATCAGCTGCTTAAAAGCAGAGGAAAGCATGCCCGACGATTGGAATTTAAGTGTGCTCTGCCCAATCTATAAAAAAGGGGACCCTACAGTCTGCTCTAATTACCATGGGCGGATTGTTTGAGAGACTAAAGCCCACTGTCAACAAACTGATCGGACTTTATCAGGGTGACCTCAGACCTGGTAAATCATTCATTGACCAGATATTCACCATGCGCCAAATCTTGGAAAAGACCCGTCGTTTTTAAAGCCACCTTAGACAGCATTTATACAGCTGTGTAAACTGACCTTGAGCAACGGACCTCTCCGGCCCGTTCGACACCAAACGAGGTTTCAGACAGGGTGACTCTTTGTCGTGTGATTTTTTCGGTTTGTTACTAGAAAGAATAATAAGAGCTGCAGAGCTGAAAAGAGAAGGTACAGCTGCTGGCGTATACCGATGGTATTGACATTTTTGGCCTCAACAACCACGCCGTTAGTTCTGCTTTCTCCAGGCTCGATAAAGAGTCAAAACAAATAGGTTCTGGTAGTGAACGAGGGCAAGACGAAATATCTCCTGTCATCCTGGATCCCACATCACTGTGGACAGTCATAAATTTGAAGTCGTAGATAACTTCGTCTATTTAGGAACCAGTATTAACACCAATAAAGACGTTAGCAGATTTACTCTTGCCAGCAGGTGCTACTTTGGACTGAGTAGGCAATTGAAAAATTAAGTCATCTCCTGATGAACGAAAACCAACTTCTACAAGTCGCTCATCGTTCTCGTCCTGCTATACGATGTGAAACCATGGACGAAGAAAACATCTGATGCGTCGGTGTTAGGAGTTTTCGAGAAAAAGGTTTCGCGTAGAATTTATTGTCCTTAGCGCGTGGTCTACGGCACCTTCCCAATTAAGGGACCGGACATTCCAAGTGCATGCCCTCAAATCGTGATCTTTAATTCTTTTCGGGAGTCGTCAACATAAAGAGAGTATCTCATCCGAGGCGCTGTAAAATTTTTCATTGGGGCCGGTTTCTACGTTTCGATATATTCATTGAAGTGAGGACACTTTCACTTCCATTCGAAATTTGTATATTTATTTAACGCAATGCTATAATCCCGGCTTGCTTCTCAATTCGATTTCTGAACTTAAGGTTTTAGGTGCACATTTCGTTAACTATACTGTTATTCGCCAAAAAGTATTTTCTTTTCAGATATCTACGCTCTGAAGATTTAGATTTTTTAATGTTCTCTTTGGAAGAACAAGCCACGACTATGCATCCTCCTACTGGAGACCAAAATATTATTGATACATCGTGATCTCCATAGAATGAGCCTTCGTCTAAATCGCGATGTCTGCTTTTGGATATTAAAGCTCTGAGTGCCAAAGTTTCCTCCCTCTCTCTCAATTTTGTGTGCAAATTTGCAAATAGATCAGTCAACTGTTCAAAGCTCCAGGTACAGTTTATAATCTGTAGGTGAAATCTGCGCTCCGTTAAAGAAAACGGAATTAAATATTATTATTAATCCTGCTTCGTTCTTTTCCTTGTGGAACGATTCATTATACATATAGTTTAAATAGTTATTAGTCATCTATTCTATTAGTCAGTCGAAAATTGTGGTCTCTTGACTTAAATAAATAAATAAAAATTCAAAAGCTTTAAAAAGCAATTTTCAGATCGGAGGCGTATTAAAACCAAAGGTTAAAGTTTTTGTTGCCAGAAAACATCGATTAACATGACTATATTTTTGTACTACTTGTTAAGTTAAGAACATTTTTTTTCCACAAAACTTTTCAAATTAAATGAAACATTGTTGCATATATAAGTAATAACATTAATTGAACTTCTCAACATCACTCACTCAGTTATCCATTGCAATCTCAACATTACCACAACAACTTACTATTTTTGCTAACCTCGCCATTTTTTTGGTTTGTTTTTCTATTTGCAGAATTTGAAAAATCAAATCATGACGACCAACGTGTGGGTGGAGCAGGTAAGTAAAGCCGTCAAAGTTGAGCCTTAAGTTTGCTTTTCTTTTTTGGTTTCTTTAGTTCAAGTTAAGTGTGTTTTTGTTTTTTGTACGTATGTATGTTTGTAAAATAGGAACACTTGAGGTTTCTAATACGTGTTTAGTTTCGTGAAGAAAAAACTAAATTTTATACCAAAAACAGAAAATAATAACTTTAAGAAAAGTTTTCTAAATGTTGGCCTAGTAAAAAGTAATCCATTATTTTTGCTTTATGTCGAAGGTGTATTTTTAATTATCCGATTAATATCAAAAAAAATACCGTTTTGATTGATACAATCGACTTTTACAGGCTTCGGTTGCGGCCAATGCGTTAACCAATCAAATCATTTACTGTAGACAGAAACAGCAGGTAATCCCTTAGTGTTCTCCTGCTGCTCATCAAAGCTGAGCACTTGCTCACTTCAACACTGTACGATCGCTGACGGTACTGGTCCAACTTAAGAGCTTTGCCCAAGAGAAGCAGCTCATATTAGATAGTTTCTTTCAAGCCCCAGCAAACATACCACAAAACCTTTCTGTCTATCAATCCTGACATGCAGAACATTGATGAGAGCCCATTCCATTTCAGTGCCTGTAAGTGACTTATTCTGGTAACGAAGTCACCATCCTTTTGATGCGATCAGCAACGATTCGTGAATAGAAATTCGGACCATTAGGACTTTTCTCTTTAGCTCATATCCATGGAAAGCTGGAACTCACTACTCACACAAGGAAAAACTTAGTATTTCAAAAATATGAATTTATTCATCATTTTCTCTTTGGTCGCTTTCATAATAGTTAATGTATTACGCTAGAGTCAGTGCTTTTTGCGAACTTCGCTGAAGGTTTGTCATGCACTTTATGGTATTTGCCAAGGCTCCTTCAACTTGAGATTTCCATCCAAACTTTCGCAGGGTACGACATTCGGAAAGTAAATGCTTTGAAGCTTCAGACTCATTCTCTGCTCTTCAAATTTTACGCGCAGTCTCTATGCTTGTCTACTCATTGTATCTATTCCCTATCTTCGAGCGAAATGAGCTCTCTTTTGGTTCCATTTTATTTTGCGGTGAAAAACTTTTTACTTATTTACTTGTTTCACAGCGAGTTGCTAGAGCAAAACGTTAATTGAACTGCGGCAATTCGCTATTATTGTATTCTCGTTTTTGTTATCTAGTCTTTATCGATGCAGTTGTCAGTCTCTGACATTACAGCTTCGTTTCTGAGAGCGATGAAGAGAGTAACTCGTCTTGTATTTTTTAGCAAAGAAAAGAATTCAGAATTATGTGGCAAAATACCTAAGTCAGCGTACTTAGCTTACTTTTCTAAGCGCTTCAGTTCACTTTACATCATATCACATAGAATTTGGGGTAATACGATGCTCACTATAACCGCTAGATTGGCCGCACATCCAATGACTCTCGCAACTCCTTCAAGTTCTTAAGTAATTGTTTATTACCAGGAACTACTTTGCGGAATTCCTCTGCTGACAGATCTCAGTTTCAAAATTTCTGCGGGCCAGACCTTACGGCCCTATGTATGTACATCCGAGCAGTTTAAGGCAAGTCTGCACTCGGCGTTATACACATTATTACGCCACCCTCAATATAGGCGACTCATTAATACTTGGATACGCTTTATTTCATTTCTTACGCAAAATTAAAGAAAAAAAAATTCTGTCATCCATTTTGGGCTTATGGAAATACGTCTTAGACGAAGCCAATGCGACGAAGCGAACTTGAAAACAGCTCAAAATGGTATAATATGTTTACATATATATTTAAAAAAAAAAATGTCTTGTGTAATCGGACTCCCCAGGCTCACGAAATTTAGAAAATTTTCTTTACTTGTTTAAGGGGGAAGCTGGTCTAGAGCGCAAAAAATGTGCATATTTTATGAATTTATTTTGACTCAACAAAGGAAACAATCCAAAATCGGTGAAATAAGTTTAATAATATAGGTTTTATCATACAAATACAAAATTTTTCGTGTTGTTTAATTTCGTAATGGCCGCTGTCCAGCATTTCTCCGAAGACGCCTTTTTTCTAATGGAACCATGACTGAAGACGTAAACTTCTTAATTTTTGTCCTCGGTCAAAAAATAATTTTTTTTGTTTCTACAACACATAACAACAACAAGAGAAATGGTAGGATTTGTTCGAAATTTTGTTTATTTTTCGCGAAATTGTGCACGTTTGAACAAAATACTACAATTTTCACCAAAAAAACGATATAAAATCGTTGATTAAAAAAAATTATGTAATATAAAAAAATCATACGTACGTCTTCGAAGAAGGGTATTTCGAATGTACTGTCGTACTGTTCGTAAGAATCGGTGAAGATTTGTTCGAGTTATGTCTTTGGCCAGTTCAAAAAAAAAGTGATTTCGAGAAAAACGCGTTTAAAGTTATAGGTTACTCGGGGCACTGCAGTCGAATGAAAAATTTAGGCATTTAGACGTTTTTGCCGGCAACCATCTTTTGGTATGTTATTTCTAAGACCCTAAAGCACCTTTTAAAACAAAAAAAATGTTTTTTCGATCTTTTCAAAATGCTAGGCCAGTGATTTTACACATTTATTTTTATGAAAATTTATTAAACCTTAAAAAGCACCCTTTAACTTATTGAATGCCGACCAACAAATTTTATGTCGGCGATCCACAGCAATGTTAGCTGAAATGCCCCACCAAACAGACCTTTTGGCTCTCCGCTCACTTGTTCATATTAAGGCTGTTGGTCGATGAAAATCGCTACTAAAACACCAATTTCACTTGCAGAACACGTATTCGTATGTATGTATGCATGTCCAGCAACGTTTGTGGTCATTAAATGCATTTCACGAAATTGTGTTGCAATAAGGCATTGGTCAGCACGATATCAAGTAAACAGCGCACACAGCTTGTGGCGTTGCTATTTATTATGTTGCCAGTTTATATTCAACAGCGGTAGCGATTTGGTAGCGATTGTTTTGTGTAGTATTCGGTGGTTTATGGAAAATATATGTGTATTTAGTGTTGGTTATATGTACTAACGTTGTATGGAACACTTTTGTGCATTACACATTCATTAGGTCATTAACCTTGATGACTGCCGTTTTTGTGAGATCAAGATGAAAGAAATGTCGAAATTTCGATACTACCTACAGCAGGATAATCGCATAGAAAATCACTAATTGCTTCTGTCCATCCATCCTTGCTACAGATCCAATAGCGTGCTTTTCTAGTTTATTTTATTTAGATATGATAACACTTATTGCCGTGAAGATACAAAATTTTTGAGTAAATAAATTTTAAGCTTTCGATTCCATCAAGTGCCTAGATGTAGGCAATAAAAATATATTATTATAGAAACCAATGAGCAAGTGAAAGCCTCCATTAATATGCGCAGTCATCAAAATTGGCTCAGTTGGAGATTTCTCTCCTGTTTAATGTTGAATTAACATACAAAGGGTACAAAATGGCAGCTGAAAATTAAAAGTGGATGCTCCAGAGTTTTAACACAGGGAAATGTGTATGTAAATACTGAAAGTTTCTAGCATATTTTCAGGCGCATTAATATAATTTCGCAAAACCGTTAAATATTTTCAGTTGTAAAATTTCCAAAAGCAAAATATATAGATATATAAATAGAATAGGAAGGATTGAGTGAAATATATTCAACGCCACGAAAGTCTATCAAATCGAGCGGCAGCGTACCTGTGCACAGATTTTTGCCTAAAGGGTAACACAGTTTGAATTTTGTGGCCAACTGCGCGATGGGCAATCAGTTACAGCAACAGCTGTTTCTATAAATTTACTTTTTCCTCATCCCTTTGACTTCCGCATTACTTGTAGACTTTTTACTTACACTTACTACCAGCTTTTGTTGGAACCAACTTCTGAGTTCTGGCATACAGAAGGTCTCAAGATAGCAGCATGCTCTTGCAGGACATAGAAAGGTGATCTAGTAGCACTTCTTTAACCTGCTCTTTTGGCAGTAAAAAGGGAACACAAAGAGAAGTCGAACCCGGCACCCCAATCGGTTAGAAGGGATCAGATGTTTTTTTTTTTTTGTTCGAGTAAGAAGAAGTTTAAATAGCAATCGCCGGCTTGAAAAGATCAAAGCTGTGGCGCAAAATATGGCCTGACGAAAACGTACTTTGCCCAATCCACAAAAAGGCGATCCCACATCCTGCACCAATTATAATATGATAAACCTCCTCAGTATCACATATAAGGCACTGTCGATGCTACTGTGCAGATGACTAAAGCGTACTCTCAACCAGCTGATTAGATCTTGTTAGTTAGGCCATTAGCCAGATATTCACCATGTGCTAAATCCTGAAAGGGCTCACCTACTCATCGGTTAAAGATGCACTTGACAGCGCCATAAGGACTTGCCTGAGCACGGTGTGCCCGAAAATCTTTTACGGCTATTTAAACTGATGTTGAACAACACAGAAAGTTCCCTCCAGGTCGCATAGCACCACATAAGACCGCTCCAAAGCGTTCGAAAGCAATCTAGTAAAAAGTAGTACCCGCTGAAGAGTTGAATAAATGAAGAATATATAATCTTCTTTAAAAGTGTACAGGTGCTGGCGTAAGCTGATGATCTTGACATCACTAACAGCAGCAACCGCACCGTGAGTTCTGTTCTCCTCAAAAATGTTTTGCGTAGGATATATGGTCCCGAGATCGACCTGATTTCATTTTTTATGCCCAATTGGAGCCAAACACAATAAAAAAATAACTTTCTAGTTATTCTTTTGTCTTGTTGGCCAACCGACCGGCGAAAGACATTAAATTATCCGCTCACCTAAGTGTTCTCTAATTTAATGCAATGATAGATGCTTTGTGTGAGTGTGAGTGGCACCACCGTCTTGTTGAAACCAAATGTCGTCGAGATGCCGAGCTTTAGTTTCAGGCATAAAATAATCGGTTATCATGGCGCGCTTAGGATCGCCATTGACGGTTACGTTTTCACCGGCATCATTTTGAAGAATTATGTACCGATGATTCCACCGGCCCACAAACCACACCAAACCGCTATTTATCTGCATGAAATGACAGCTCTTGAATCACTTCAGTTTGCTCTACGTCCCAAATGCGGCGATTTGCTTGTTAAAATACCCATTGAACCAGAAGGGGGCCATGTTACCGAACAAAATTTGAATTGATAACAGTAAAGCGGAGTCGCTTGATGAGATCGAGCTGCTACAGTTCTTGCACAAGCTGCATTTTGCACACATTAAATATAAGATCTCAACGTAAAATGCGCTAAGTTGTTCCATACGTCAGACCGAACTGCTGCGAACGGCGCCAAATCGACTCTCCATGGTCTTCGTGTACACTCTCAGCTACGGTCGTTATTGTGTGCTGACCGTGGTTTTTTCGGTCGAATATTGTCCAGTAATGAATGTTGGGTCTCAAGTTGGCTGATGGCGCTACGAATAGCACGCTCAGTTAGCGAATAGACAACATAATTCGCGCGTGAAACACCTTCTTTACAGAACGTGCATTTTCTTAATAAAGCTGAGTAATTTATAAACGTTGTTGCGGCGTAAGTCTTTCCATGATGAAACGTCAAATAATGCTGTGCAAAATTTACGTGACGGTTTGACATGACTCAGGCGTGATCTGTGGGAAGAAAACTATTGAAAAAAACACCTCTTCTTGAATCACCCGTTATCAACATCAGCCGAGTATCAAATGTCATTTCTGCTGGTTTTATTTTATGAATGCTCTGCTTCATTAAGTTTTACTAAATTCACTTAATTAGCTTCAATTCAGAATTAATTATAAATAATTTATTCTACTCTAAGCAACGCGAATCTTCATTTATATATATACAATATTATATATTTGTACATATATTATTATATGAAAATTATTATACACATGCATATGTACATAGGCTATTTTGTGATGCGATTATGCAGTAATTAGTTTAAAGTATAAAAAAACAACAAAAATACGATTGCGAATTTTTTTTGCATTTCACCATTTTGACAATAATTTAGGTTGTCTGTATTTACATGTGTAAAAGTTAATATCTACATGAAAATATATATGTACGTGAGTGGGCGTACAATGCACACAGACAAGCGTTCGCTTTTATTCATTTACATACAATGCACAGACGCGCGTGAGTGTATGTGTGAGAATGTCTGGCAAATATTTTTCTCATTATGTATCTGTCATCGATAATCATATTAGTGGTTTTGCATTTTTTTCCTTGTTTTTGTTGTTTGTTTTTGTTATTGTTTGTATGTAGATGGTTGCCTGTCTAATAATTCCATTATTAATGTTTTTTAATTTTTTTTTTGGTGTGCTGCAGGAATGGAATGACTACAAACTGAAATGGAACCCAGATGACTATGGTGGTGTGGATACCTTACACGTGCCATCCGAACACATTTGGCTGCCGGATATTGTGCTCTATAATAAGTAAGTAGAAGCGGAAAATTAATCAAACATACTTTTTATATTTTGCAATATATGTACATATTTAGTAAGCGAAAATTAATATTTTTAATTTCCTATTTTCCTACATTTTTTCCTTATATTAATAATGATGCCGTTTTCTATAATTCGAAGACATTTCGACATATTTGTACGTCTCTCGATAACAGGGTGGGGTACATTTACTTCAATCTTCATACTTGCGCCATCTCAGATTATGTGATTTTAATTTCTGCGCATTACACAGTGCAAATTGGTTTCAATTCTAGGGCACAATTATTCCATTTTATCCCTTTCGAATTATTGCTTTGCTTCATTACTCTTTAAATGCCCTTAAGACGCGCATTTAAGCTGCTTTAAGGTCATTAAATACTTGAATTACTTGCAAGCGTCAGAGTTGCCTAAGAAATTTGGTTATAAAAATTGTGTTAAATTTACTCAACACAAACTCATTATTAGCGCGATTTTATTGTTGTTTGAAAAAAACTGAAGCTAGGCAAATAAAATGCACACAACTTTAACTGAAACCCCTGCAGGAAAATAAAACAGTGAAAACGCAACTATAGTCAAAGAATTTTATGAAAACGAATTAACTGTATAATAGTATTATGTTCGTAATAATGAGGACTGATGAACAAAAAATAAAGCAAATACCAGCTCTTTACCTCAAGCTAACGCAGATTCTATTAAAACCATTTCGTAATTCTATAACAAATTTCCTAAGAGGCATAATAATCCATTAACGAAATTTCTACCCCCTAATATTGGCAATTTTGCGCAATATTAAGCAAAGTAAGAGATATCCGAAAAATTACATTTTGGAAAGAGAAAAATGCTTTCGAGCATACATTAAGTTAGGCGCATAATCACAGACGGCAGGACAATAATCATTAATTTATATCCTGCATAACAACCACAAGCGCAACACAGTAGTATAAGAGAAGAAATCAAATCAGTAAAACAAAAAAAATATACATATTGAAATAAACTAAAGTTATATCAAAAAAAAATATAAAATAGCAGAAAAATTTATTAAAAAAAATTCCTAAATAAAATGTGAAATTAAAAAAAAACTAAATTTAAGCCAATTAAACTAAAATAAAAAAAATTAAATTAGATATCATAAAAGAAAACTAATGAAATAAACTAACATTTAATAAAAAAAAAAAAATAAATAATATAAAATGAAAAGAAATAATAATAGAAAATAAAATAAAATAATATAAAATAAATTTTATTAAATTAAAATAAGTTTGAAAAAATAATCAAATAAAACGAAATAAAAGTAAATAAAATAAAATAATTTATACCAAGTTAAAAAAAAAAACGAAATAAAATAAATTAGAATTAAATTAATTTAAATTTATTAAAATAAAACAAAGTTATTGTATATATGATACTAAATGAAACAAAATAAAATAAATTAATTTAAATTTAATAATATAATATAAAGTATTTTAAAATAAAATAAAATAAAATAAAATAAAACAAAATAAACTAAAATAAAATAAAATAAAATAAAATAAAATAAAATAAAATAAAATAAAATAAAATAAAATAAAATAAAATAAAATAAAATAAAATAAAATAAAATAAAATAAAATAAAATAAAATAAAATAAAATAAAATAAAATAAAATAAAAGAAAGTAAATAAAATGAAATAGCATAAAGTTTATTTGTATGAATTAAAATAAAAGGAATTAAATAAAATAAGACAAAATAATTAAAAAATTAAAATACAATAAAATAAATTAATTTAATGAAATAAAATGAAATAAAATATTTAAACGAAATAAAAAAATGTATAAAATATTATATATATTTTATCGAAACCTCGGCTGTAACATCGTTACGATCAATGGTGCAGACGATATAACGAAGCTGCGTGACCTTTTGAGTGCCCGAAAATGATTTAAAATGGCATAGTTCTGGTTCCAACAGGATGGAGCCACAGCAAACACTCGAGCCGCATTTCAATTACCTTACTTTGCACGATGTTCGACCAACCAATACGTTTTTTTTTCGAAAAACGGCAATTTCGACTGCATGTGATAGGATTTAATAAAATTTTTAAATGAATTTTGGGTGTTCAGGCTTATAAATTTAATTTAAATAAATTATTGAATATTAATATAAATAAAAAAATTATGTTAATTTTTCTAAATGCGGTCGCTCCTCTGCATGAGCCTCTTCATTAAAAACACTCAGTCGTTCGGAGGCGGCTTAGTATAAACTAAAGTCTAAAATAATGAATATTATTCTACAAAAGTATCTAATTTTAAAATTAAAATATCTGCTTTAAAATATTGAATTACCTAAACAGTAGCTCAATTAAATAATATTTTGCCCTTCTCGATATGATTTGATGGATTCAAATTAACGTCTTGGGAAAAAAATTAAAATATATAAAAATATGTGCTTTCAACATTTTAGTTGTGCAGATATTTCTATTGTAAATCAAGCAGTTGATTTTCCTAAGTAATACAGCTAATTTCCCCCTCGCCCTTCTTCCTACTCAATTTAAAAATATTGGGTTGCGCGCTTTAACTTCTTCACTCCATTTTGTGGTATGAATAGTTTGCGCATCCGAGTCTTATCTCGAACAATTTGAAAGATATAATATAAAGATTGTTATGAAATAATGAGTTTACCCAGAGTTGCTAGTCTTATACCTTCAGGCATGAACGATACGCCCAACATATTAAAACCCTGCAATCGCTGGAACAATTATATATTTCTGAGCAGTTAAGCATAAGTAAATATAAAAAATTCGGTGCAATTTATTTACTAACATTAATTTCACCGAAAAAGCAAAATAACTAACTTCACACATTCTTATTTCTGCCTGCTGATTTTTATGCCTTTCTCCACGCTTTGTGTGTTTGTAAGGAGCAAATAATAAAGCAAGTGAAATTTTATGCAGAGAACAATCAACAAACGTTGACCAACAGTATCACAGCTCTTTTGCCACACCCACTTTTTGCAGCCTGCAACTTCTTACATACAAATATTTACATAAAAGTATTTTCATATATATATATATATATATATATATATATTTGCGAGTAAATCAGCGCGTGCATATTCTGCTAGGCGTGGCCGCTGAGGATTTAATATGATAATTGAGGGATTTTTGCCGCAACGCTTTTATGCCATAGAAAGGACATTTCCAGAATGGCATACATACCCTTCCCCAATTCAAATTTTATTTTAGTTTTTTATCTACGCTGGATTTTTGATTTTTTTTCATTCTTTTTTTTTTCGAAACGCTCCCGATTTGCATATTATTTAGTGTCAGGCATTGGAGAGCTTTACCGATGAAGAGAAAGCTTCAACTGTTTTTAGTTGTTATTATTGTTGTTATTTTAGGTTTTTTTTTCTTTTGTATACATAAACCTGCTGATCCCTCTACTCAATGCCACAGCATACACTTGCTGTTGACGATGTTCTTCGCTTGCGTCTTCTTCTTCTTCTTCACACCCCTCCCACTTCTTCTGCTTCGTTCGTGTGCGTATAATTGAATTTGGCGAAGCATTAAATATACTTTATGCTTTTAAAATTTTGCAAATAAAATGCGAATGGAAAATTGGCTATTGGGGCGTCGTCTGTGGGTGTAGTGGTTAAGTAAAGTGGATGTAATAACTGGAATTTCAGGCAATGATAAAATGATTTTATAAACATTTATAGTAAAAAATGGTTACAATGTTTTAATAGCGGTATTTCATAAGAATTATCAATTTTTTCTTAAGCAAAACAAAAAAAAGTGATGAGAAAAAATTTTAGTTGGAAATGAAAGCGGAAATCAAGCAAATTCCACTGAACTTTCGCGTTTTTTTTTTGTGTATTTACATGGAGGAGTTGGCATTCTCAGCCGAGGCGCGAACAGAATTAAAAAAAAATTTACCAAATTTTTTACTTATTTTTTTTTTTTAAATTTTGTCTATTACACGAACACGTGACCCCCAACACAATAGCTCAAAACCAGTGACCATGCACCTGGTAAACTATTCTGCAATTGAGATTTGTAAAATTAGTTGCAGCCCAGTCGGATTAATTATTATATTTAAAATTACTTTTACAAAAATATTTCATCAGTCAGAGTTTTCGATTTTTTAGCCAACTTCTTTCCATAATGTCAAGGTTTGAAAACAAGACGTGTAACAAACATTTTCTCACGGATTTTCCAAAGTTAGTTGAATATCTCATTTGCGTTGGTTCTAAAAGATCTGAAGAAACACTGATACAGTGCGAGGATCTAGCCCGTTCAACTTCAATGTTTGACATATTTTGTTAAAAGATCTTAAAGGCGATGTTATTGACACTTGCCCCTTTTTGCAGACTCAACTGAACATACTTAAGTTCCAACCAACAGAACAAAGATTTTCTTCACAACAATTTCTGAAAAGCTTCTCCAGTAGATCCTCAGCTCTCCCCTCAATACTGTATTGTACTGACTTCATCGTTGTTCGTTCAGAACATCGATTCCAAGAGCACTCCATTGGTTTATATATGAGGAAACCTTTAATTTCTTAAAATTTATCTGCAAATATTTCTGTGAAAGGCTTTAAAGTTCATGGAGATCACAAACATAGTCACAAATCTAATTGTTTCAAATTACAGGCCTGAATTTTTGGCAACTGTCAAACTTAAGTGTCAAACCAAACATGTTTTGTTGTAGCCAAATGTAAAGTATTTAAGAAAAAATATTGTTTGGCAACCGCTTAACACGCTAAAGCTGTTCAAACTTACCACAAAAATGGTGACCCAAACGAGACCACATTTCGTGCTTGAAGAGAGGAGACTTATTCAAGCGATTGGAATAGTTTTAATGAAATTCATGTATATTGGGTCGGTTGTAAGTAGTTATAGCATCATCGCTTTACCCATGCCACCTCAACTATCACTACTCTAAGCGAAAGTGCAGCCAAAGATCTGAATGTGTCTATCTCTCAGCGTTGTCAAGAGCTGGGGCTTTCTTACGGCA